ATCCGCCGAAACGTCAGCTCATTTGTGAATAAAGAATAATAACACCTCGCGTTTGCTCAACAAAAATACGAAGAATTAATCGCATGGTGGCAAATCTCACTCTGATCCATCCACAAAGGCGGCGAACCTGTAGTGGTGACGACCTGGGGCAAGTTTTGGCTAGGCTGTCATCGGAACTCTAGAGAGCCACAATAGCTAAACCAGCAAAACTCCGAAAAATGGAGATTATGCTGGGGCCCGCACAACCAGTGAGAACGGGCTGTCCACATGTCTTAGTGTGTGCGTTATAAGACTTCACGAAAAAACTGTCGATATTTAGGTAGTTTTCGAACCGAAATTTAAATTGTTGAGCTTACACGAGGTTGATAAAGAACTAGATGTCAACACGAACTTTGTCAAACTCTTGTCGATATCTAGTTTTCCGCCATTGCTCCACAGCTATTTCAAACCTTTAACCATGGAAACAGTTTGTGAAATCGATCGAGCATGCTGACTTGATTGTGAATATCTTACCTTCTTGTTCTACTCGTTCAATGACTGTAAATTTTAGTCGCAAGGATCTCTCAGCGAGCTATTATCAAAACCACGTCATTGGAGTAAGCTAACTGATAAGGGACGAGAAGCATTTCGTCGGATTTACGGCTGGATATCGGACGCTGAAGCTGTGGATCTTTTGTGCTCACTGAGTCCACGACGTGTTTGGCCAAGTGGTATTTTAATTGAGATATTTCCTTCCCGTATACTTCGTTGGGAATGAAAATATACCGTGACTGATTTCAGAAGTTCGAATTGAACACCCGACACCGGAATCCTTATGGGAGGGCAGCAGTGGTCCGTTACCACCTGAGGAATCAGATGAGAACACATTTAAGCGCGCTGCTAGCGCTCGTGAGGACCAGGTAGTGCGTTGTTTTTCGAAATTTTTAAAGAATTGACGAGATCCATATCCTTAGAAGACGCATGTAGCACAATGGTCGAAGGCGCCCCGCAATACACATGGGATCGATCCCTGCGCCCAAAGCTTACCAGGCATTCTATCCCTCTGGGGTCGGCAAATTGTTACTAGACTTGTGTGGGCGTTGGCAGCACTAGCTCGATACATCGATAGACCACCGCGAGTCATTGTGAAGACCATGTATGCATTAAATCCTATCCAACCATATTTATTGAATTCAATGCATGGCGCGTTCATGTCAAGGATTGATCAACGCCGAGAGCTTCATCCTTTTCTAGCTTTATCCTCGGAAGACATTATTATCACCTGTTGTATCTCATTTGAACTGCCCATTCCTTGAATGTATTTATTTGAACTAAATTTCTTTTTTACACTTTTAAGTATCGCCTTGCCGGCACAAATCAAGCTTCAAATGCTGGTTCTACAACACGAAATAGTCGCTGGCGTCATGATGATATTCCTAAAGAGAAAATAATGAGCATTTTCCAGTCTGAGCTGGCTAAACTTAGAGAACAGGTAGGAGTTGGACTTTTTTTAAAGAAGTTTTCTAAAGTTTATAATTCTTATGAAAGATGTTATTGTTCGTTTTTCATGAGTCTACTCTCGAGCGGGCTATAGCTACTCGTGTATTTGGTAACGATCATCCAAAACGGGTAAGCGTCTGCACCTCAAGTGTTAGGTCTTAATTTTCGAAGTGGTTCGCATAGAGATTTCTCTCGATGTCGAGATGAATATTTGTTTTAAAAGAAACCTTAAACGTTTTTTTAGACGGAAGATACGTCGCCGTCTTATCATGAAATGTCGCACAATGAGAGAATGGCATCCATCAGTCATGCTCATCAGGTAGACAAACTGTCTCATGCGTGTGTAACAAATCTTAGATGATTGACCGTCCTATACACTTGACATATTGTTAACTTTTTATTTGCTGCTTATTTGCTACAACCTCGACTTAACTGTGTTCAATCCCGAGTTGGGCTCCTCAGATCAATCCAGTTAACGAATGATTGCTAATGGCACTGGTAGGTAGAAAACTAGCTGAGAAAAAACCAGAGAAAGGGCCTCCGTGGCGCAGTGTGTAAGGCGCGATCCCTTGGAAAAGAAAATTGTGGTTCGATCTAGCTTGGGGTACAAGTTTTGCGAATATTTCAGCATCGTTGTGGTAGCTATTCACATCATACTCTGCTGTAAAGAATTATAGTAGGTAGAAAAGAAAAGGTTAGCAATGTGAATTCGAAATGTGAATTCTATCACTCATAATTCACAAGTTTATGCCATCTAAGGTATTCATTTAGTTATAAGAAATTTATCTTCCTAAAGTTACTGTTCGTTATTGGAAACACACTATACGAATTAATTATATTAAAATTTAACCAACTTGATGAGTCTGCGATGGTTTTGCCTCTAAAGGTGTACCTTTACCATCGTTAATTTCTCTGTCCTTATCGAGATTATTCACTTATTTTTTGATGTGAGATGGTGCAGTCATCAACCATATGAGACTAAAATTGGCTGTTTTAAACTTCCTCAATGGAAGTCACGTTAGAGGTGGTTCTGAAGAAGGCGATACTGCCGACACGTGGGCTACAGTTGTATTGTGTGTTTTTGTATGGAAGTAAAGGTATGCTTCGTAAAAACCACGCGGTTGTTGAACAGGAAAACGATGCATTCATGTTCCAGTGCCGAGGTTAATACAAAGTCGATACTGGGGACTTCATGTTATGTTCAACGCTTCTCAATGTTCTTACCAACTGCCCTTTTAGCTGAGGTGATATTGATGTAGATGTTCTTATTGTTGTTGTTTTCGTTGCTCAACGACTGACGTTTCGGCAACTTCGCCTTCCTCAGACCCGTGGCCTTGGACCACTCGTGTGTTGTTCAGGAGGATGACCATCTCTAAAGAAGGGCTCTGAGGAAGACGTTGTTGCCGAGACGTCAATCATCGAACAGCGACAGCAACAAGAATAGGAACATCTATAGCAACCTTGCGTCAGGTGAAAGAAGAGCAGTTAATAAGAGTGTACATATGGATATATCGATTATTATGCCAAGGTCTTTAGGAATTAGATCTTTTGAGTTATTAACAGTTGTATCATCTCATTGTATTCAAGATGATACAAGGATATTATATATCTGGACACAAATTTTTGTTAATTAATAGTTTTGATAAGAATATAACGGCCAGTCATCTACTTTGCTTTTATCATATTGTATTTCTTTGTCTACTTCTATTACTATCTATTCCTTATTAACTGTTATTTTGGTAATAAACGCTTTTGTAACTCACTGCCGCTCCTTGCAATCAGTGGAAGCTCTCTGTGTATTCTCGCTTTGGGTATATGAACGCGGAAAAGTACTTGCTATCCAAAGTTGTCCAGAATAATAAATATTTATGCAGTTTTTTCCAAACACTGTCTTTTTTGTCTCCAAGTTTAGAACATGGTATGGGTATGACTTTTTATCAAATGTACTCGTTTTTTTTGTATAGGTGATGAGCGCACGTATGCGTGTCGGACTGTCACCGATCAGGCAGGATCAGTTTGAAATGTTTGGACACATTGATACTGAAGACGTCGTCAGACAGGTGTGTGGTTTCAGTTCTTTTGTTCTTCATGCATTGCTTTTTCTTAGACTTGCTACTTCACGTCTTTCTTAACGAGTTGTCTGTTCTCTTCATTAGTAACAGGAGCTAGCTGTACATATCTGGCTTACGAAGTCTTTAGCTACTTTAAGGTTATCTTTTGTTGTGAAGTAACAAAGTTTAGAGGTTTAGGTATGTTCTCTCATTTTTTATTGTTAACTTTATTCCTTACTTTGAAAGATTGTTCGCGTTAAAATGCGAGTAGGAATGGCACTTCATGTAGCAAATCGTAAGAGGGATATCGTATTAACCTTGGCATTGATCAGTAGTTTACTGTTTTTCTTTAATGGACAGGTATAAGGTTGGTATTACAGCATTTATCACCACACAATAGGTGGCGTTTCGGCGATTTCGCCTTCTTCAAAGCCTGGAAACATCAAATTGACATGCAGTCAACTCAGCAAAACACTTTCGTAACCTTAGCAGATAATTCGTTTTTAGAAAGAGTAGGTTAAAATTTTTTTTGTAAAAGGTAGATTATATCTGCTGAGATTATGAAAGTGTTTGGCTGAGTAGACTGCTTGTCAACTTAACCTTTCCAGGCTCTGAAGAAGGCGAATACACCGAAACGTCAACTATTGTGTGCTGCGGATAAGTGCTATAATACCAACCTCGTGTTTTCTCATTGGAGAAAAAAAGGAATTATGACCTGTGTTCATCACTGCTTGCTTGATTCGATAATATGTGTGTTTCATGTTCAGATAAAGGAATTCTTATCGATGAATTCAATTTCACAGCGTCAATTTGGAGAACATGTTCTTGGCTTGAGTCAGGTGTGTTTCATTAAGAATTTTTTCCCAAATCTTCGAACTGTAGCTGTTTGTACTGTTATACTGCGACATCTTTGAAGATTGCCTTGTTTATAAAGGAAACCATCTAAAGGTTTATTTTGTTATCTTGCAACCTTTTTCAATGTTCTTAAACGTTGTGCATTTACAGTAGAGGAATAATATGAACGAATATTTTGCTGAAATTCTTTGTAGGGTTCTGTATCGGATCTACTGGCTCGCCCAAAACGGTGGAACATGCTGACACAAAAAGGACGAGAACCGTTCATTCGAATGAAACTGTTCATGCGTGAAGTATCGCAAACAGCAAATAGGGCTCGATCGGAGACCACCGTCGAGAAGCGGAAGGACGAGCAGATTCCAGGTAAGCTGTTGAGCGTTTTGGTGCGTATGGTACTTTATGGGAATTTTGACTTCGTACAATTTCATTGAATAGAATTTAACTTACAATTCATGAATGTTGTCCTTCTACTCTGACAATAAAACCCAGTCTTTGCTGGAATCTTCATGCTTGAATCCGACCGCACATATTGAATATCCGATTATATCTTCATATTTATGTCTTCTCAGAAGTTAAAATGGTCTGCTAAAGTTTGTTTTTAACCTTAGTATTTGGTTTATCTCTATATTTAGATTCGTCATCGTCCGTAAACCATGAATCATTGTGTGACGAAGAAAAGTCGCCGACAATCAAAATTAAACATGAAGTTTTTGAAGACGGTGACGATGTCGCAACTTTACCACGTTCTGAGTTTGACTTACATTCTGTGGAAACACCAGATGACATTCCGGAATCAGGAGAAGACGCTGAAGAAGTTGATACAGCGCTTCTAGTGCGGAAAGTAAAAGACCGTCTTCATCTGCATGGGATTTCTCAGAGGGTCAGTTTTAAATGCTTGATCCAGTTTCTTATGATGTAGTTGAATCGAAATGCCCATTAATCCTAGTTGTCCGAATCTTTCGTTCTTAAAGTGATTGAAAAAAGTTTGTACTGCAATGTTATTAGAAGTTTTAGCGGAGCTACTATCTATTGTGTCTGCCGACTTAATATTAACACTTTTTAACAGAGTTATTTTTTTCATCCGGCAATAATTTTGGTAGCTAGTCGTTAGTGGCTAGTTAAGAACTAAGACGACTTTACTTAATACTTGACACTTGAACGGCTCGTCCTCACTAGTTGTGCGGCCCCCAGTATAATCACCATATTTCGGAGATTGCTGGCTATGCCATTGTGGTTCCCTGGAATCCCGAGGTCAGCCTGACTAAAGTCTGCCTCAGGTCTTCACCACCACAGGCAGTCGTAGCGCTAGTGGACCAGAGGGAGATTTGCCACCATGCGACTTCGATACCAGGACAGTGATGGATCTTAGTATTGGTTTAGGTAAGCTTCCTGGTGGAAAAACCGGATTCTTGTTCAGCTTGAGAGACCCTGCCGTGGGGACGAATCTCCCTGCTGTACATCACAGTCCGACACCCAGGAACACCTCCTAGCCACGATGAGGAGGTAAACCGTTGAGAAGAAGAATTTAATAAGAATATTTTTGTGTAAGGGATAGATAGTTGATAGGAATGCAAAGTAAGAAGGTTAAGAATAATGTGGTTATAAATACAATGATACTGAGATATTTTCAAAACCGGATCGCAGATGTCTGTGATGGGGATCGAACATTTTATTTCCCTTTCTGGGACTAGCGCGTTCACCACCACACGATGTGGGTCCTTCGTTTCTCCTATCTGTTAGCGGTACTTTAACTTATAGCTGATATTAGCAATCACCCGTCAACGGGATTGATCTGGGGAGCACAAATCGGCATTGAGTCCACTTAAGCTGGAGCTGTACTATAGGTCCCGCTGACGGGTGGTTGCTGATATCACCTACAAAACACGGCTGAAAGAAAGGCGAAACGAAGGGCCCGTATGGTGTAGTGGTGGACGCGTTAGCCCTCGGAAAGGCTAGTAGCGTGTTCGATTCTCACCTGTCTGCGTCCCGGAGTTTTGCAAATATCTCAGCGTCATTGTAGTTATATTTTACACCATATCCTGCCGTGAAAAGAATAGGCGGTAAATAAGAAAGTGATTGCAAAGTAGTTATAATTTTTGTACTTTCCATTTAGCTTTTTGGTGAAGCTGTATTGGGAATTTCTGCTGGAGGGTGCTCAGAATTATTTTTACGTCCGCGAAGATGGTCAACGTTGTCTGTCCGAGGTAGAGAACCATTTGAAAAAATGAAGTCCTGGTTGGCTGATAAAGATGCTATTCAGAGACTTTTGATGAGAGAAAGGGTATGTTGAAGTTTGTTTAAAGTTCGTAGTTAGTTCTATTACCATCTAACCAGCTCGTTATAGATTGATGCTGGTCTTCCTCTAGAAAAGAATCCATTAAATGGAAACGGTAAACGTTTTTCGGATCCACCATATGAGCCTCCTCCTCGTAAAGTGCAGGTTTGTTTACTGCTTCTTGCGCTAAGGTTATTCAGTGTCAACGTTGTGTTCGGTTTAGCGCACCGTCATAACGGAACAACAAAAAGAAGCGCTACGATTTGTTTTCCAACATGAACACCATCCCAGTCAGAAGACTGTGGAACTGGTAAGTAATGACTGTTTCCTGTGTTTGACTTCACTTCCGTACTAGGAAGTATCTACATAAGATATTTATCTCCAGCTTTCGCTCAAGTTAAACCTGAATATTCGGACTGTAAACAACTGGTTTCATAACCATCGTACGCGACAGAAAGCAAGTTTGAAAGAAGGAAGAGTGTATCCACCCGCTGTGGGGAACATTCCGGAGAGCAAAAATTGGCAACAGGTACTACTTTTGCTATCTGAACCACGTCAGGTAGAACATCTTTGGCAAAGAAGCCATTGATTTAATACGGAAGTATAAGTGGAAAGGAAGTTTGTGTGGTGGTAGAAACAGCAGGGAGGAAGACATTGAAATCAATCCGTACGGTAGTGGACGTATCAAAGTAACTTTGGGAAAACATTTTCGCCAGTGTATCGTAACAGAATTACTCATTAACAGACGGTGGGAAAACCTTCAAACAAAATTCGAACATTTACGAAAAGAACGGAATTAATGACCAGAGCTTATCAAGGATGATTCTGTATATATCTGCTCTGTCCAAGTAGGAGGAGTGTGTAGGTTATCATTGTTAATGAGCTGTGGAGTGGGTTAGGTAGGCATTCGTTTCTATATGAACAATAATGAAGAATCTAAAAGAACTTCTTGGATTTTTTTTTTCAGGATTTACACAAAATTCTCGAGAATGCATCACGTTACACTCTTCTTGACGAGGCACTACCGACCATGGTACCGGTAGTCTCAAGGCCACTTCTTACCACAACAACTGAAGAACAAGCGGATTCGTTGATGTATACGAACGATGACCACACTAACAACAGTGTCTCTTCCACATCACCGTTGGCTCAACTTTTTACTGCTACTGCAAATGATGAGCAAACTAATTCCTTACTGGTGTTTTCAAACGATGACCATCCACACAACCACAGCACAACATCGTCCACAGCGTCGCCTTTGTTTTCGCCCGAAGAACGCTGCGAAAAGGCTAGCCAGCTGGATCGTGCAGTTGCAAAAATGCGATTGTTAGCGGCTTCAAAGAGCTCGTGATTCTTGTGAACTTGGTAAAGTATCGCGCATTGTCTCTTTGTAGAGTTCCTTTTCACTTTTCTTGGAACTTTTTCTTGTTTTAGCACGAGAAATCCTATTGTGCTAGTCTTGGTGTAGCATGATCGACTTAACACTAGTCGTTTCCAAAAATATAACTTAGAGGGTTTGTACAACCTTTATAACCATGATCTCAGTCCTTTTGACACTTCTGTAATCGGAAGTATTGACGTTTTTCCTTAGGAGTTTCACATGTAGGTGTAACATTTAACATCTACGGCTCTGCTATGTAACTATTAACATAACAGTAACTAGGGAAAGGAGCTATATTTTGCGTGTACTACTTTTTGAGACTTACAAAGTTACGCCATGCGTTGGACGTTCCGAGTTTAGCATTCCGTTCGACGAAACTCTGAAGTGACATCAAGGACACTAAAGAATTAAGGAATTGTCTTGACTTTCCGTCTTACTATACTGTATTATTTTTGTTCACGCTATATTTGGTGGTCTCATCGGTTCTAATCATAATTTTCTGAAGTCTAGATTACCTCAGAGAAATTAATCTTGTTCGTTTCTTTGTGATTTCTTTCTTTCGATACGAATTAGCTGGTTTTTGTTTCCATTCTAGTCTTACGATCTCGGTGTACAGGTGGCTGTTCAGAAAAATCTCGACTATGTTCTGATCTCCATTATGTTGAATATTCATTATTGTCTCCTCTTTTTGTATTACCATACTCCATAAACTGTTTTATTGCTGATGAATAGGTGATTAATGTGCTCTTCGATTCCTAGCGTAGAGCTGTTTTCCTTCATATTTCGATCAGAATTACTTCTGCACGATGTTAAGTGAGTGAAAAGAGAGTGATGGTGTGCATGAGCATGTGGTCCTCTTTGTATTTCGTGATGTGCATTGTCTGCTGTCTGTTTCAGATTCACTCGCCACGAATGAAACCGAACTGGAACAACTCCGAAAACAGAACGCTGCCCATAAGGAGCTGATCGCAAAACTCGAGGCGGATTTGGCTTCAGCGTTCGCCGGACGAAGTGTTCGTTGTGTTTGTGCTCCTTTGGTTGTGTTTGACGTATTGGCTTATTAAGTGAGGAATATCCTACTCATTAGGTTTAGCGAAGGACAGTGACGCGTATAAAAGTCGCAGAGTCGCCTACCGTACTATGCTGATGGGTGGCAAGACGTCCGTTCCGAGTTGATCAGTTTTTAGCGAAATTAGAATAAGCCCAAGGAAATTGAACTTTTAAAGGTATTGGAAACAGAACAGATGTGGGTGTCTAGCAGCGTGAAATGTCCGGTGTTCGAATGCTGCATCGTTGAAACTTGAAAATAGAGTCAGGATCACAGTGTTGCTGAGCTGTTTGTAAAACTCTGGACCGCTGGTGTCTGCGATGAGGACTAAACAGGCTATTACCATTTTCGGGGGCTAATTCTCTTACCACTACACCGTACGAGTCCTTCGTTTTGCCTTTCACTCGGCCGTATTGTTAACCTATAGGTGCTATCAATAGTCTCCCGTGAACGGGATTGATCTGGAGAGCACAAATCGCCATTGAACCCAGTCAAGTTGAAGTTCTGGTACAAAACACGATGTAATGACGTTTTATTTATTGCCTATTCTTTTTTTTAGTGGTAGTTATGTGAACTGTAACCACAATGATGGTGAGATATTTGCAAAACTCCGCACCGTTGATGATTGCGGTGTGGACCGAACACGCTATTACACGCTGTTATATTTCACATATTACTCTGCCATTTAAAAGAAAAAGAATAGGCGGCAAATAAAAAATGACGACAATGTAAGGATCGGCTCGGGGAGCTTATTGAAATAGCTTAATCATGCTATAGTGAAGCTTGTTTTCACTTAGAAGGTTGAGTTGGAAGTGGTGGCTCCATAGAACTGTCTCTAGTAAATACGTTGTCTACATCGCTCCAAAAATGACTTAGAGATTACCAAAGGGTTCACAGTTTGAACTTTTATTTATTGCCTGTTTCTTCTTCATGGCAAGGAATTATGTCAAATTTTCGGGTTTGAAGCGCACCTATGCTTCCGAGTGCTGCTCATATCTCAGTACGCTTTTGGTTATATTTCACATTAACGTTATAGTATTATTCTAAACAGTTTTCAATCCCAGGATATATTTAACTCTTTTGCAAACTTGACTGTTGAAATCTCACCCTTACGAACGAAACAACAGATCTTTTGAAGAGTGATACCTTATTGTTTACCCTATGTGATAGCTAAGCAGTATTTTGTGTGATTTAATATCTAGTTGGAGCCTGTCTGCAGCCAAAGCGATATAGTATCTGTATAGAGTACAATTCCCTCACCGGTTCAGAACGTGGATCATCATTTGGAACAGCTGCTATACTTAACGACTATTATTGTACTCACACCAATATCAAGCCATATTAAGTGTGATCAAATGAAATGAAAGGAGCGCGTGTGACGCAGTGGCCGGAGGCGCTGTGTAATACACATGGGACCGGTCCCGGTGCTCTGGGCTCCCCAAGCCTTCCATCCCTCCGTGGTCGGCAAATTAGGACCAGACTTGTCTGCAAGGATACCGACACTAGCTCGATACATCGGTAGGCCACCACGAGTTATTGTAAAGGCCAGATATGCATTCAGTCACCTATAACGATACGTAATGAAGTCGAGTGCATGGCATATCTCTCACAGATTGATCAACGCCGAAAGCTTTATTCTTTTTTATTTATCAACTGAAATCAGTGGTCGCCATTCTTCGTTTTCTTTTTTGCTTGGATAAAAATGAACGCAGCCTTTGCTCAAGAGCATTGAATAGGCTAAAAGCTAATGAAGTGCTAAATCGAAGTTCCTGAAATCGTCCCGGGACCAGATGCTGTTTATTTTCCCAAAGTGGTTATTGTTGATGCATATGAAACAATGTCCACCGGCGACAGTGCACCTGTCCTGAGCGTAATTGTAAACATATGTACACATGGTTCTTTATTCGTCATAATTCGTTTAATATTATAAGATTTTGTAACAGGATCGGTATGGAGATGACTTGTCCACCATTGACATGCTTGGGGTTGTTCACGATACGAAGGTTGAGGGTGATGACAATAGTGTGCTTATGATTGCCTTGGCACAAAGAGATCGCCTGAAGCTTCGCGTTGGCGCTTTAGAGGAAGTGAGTAGTATTTCTCTTTCAGTAATCAAGTCTTAGTAATTGCTTATAGTAAATGTTATTCTGCTACATTAATTATCTCTAACATATTTACTCGACTTGCAATGACTCCGCTTTTTGCAGCGTTTCGTGACACTTGTTTGTATTCTTTATTTAAATTTGACTGACATGATCGTTTGTCTATTTTTTTAAACTGTATAATGGACTTCTCTATTCCTCTCCCTAGCCGGTGAAGAGTGGTGCTTTATTGCGTTAGCGTTTCGTTGGGTCCATGTTAGGAGTCGTATACAGTAGTATTTTAACGACTGTGCGCTTTACTTGGATACTTGGATGACCAAAGTCTGCCCCAGGTCGTCACTACCACAGGCATTCACCGCCCTTGTGAAAGATTTGCCACCGTGCAACTAGTTTTATACCAGTGGTGGATCCTGGTATTGGTTTACTCTTACTGTAGTCTGACACCCAGGAACACCTCCCATCCGCGATGAGGTGGTAAACCGCTGAGAGAAATATGCGCTTTATGGCCACTAATAAGTAAAACGAGGTTGACGAAAGGTTCACAATATTAGAAATTCTATTAATAGCATCACATTGATTTGCCAAAGAAACGACAAGAGCCATGTCAAAATTGATCGTCTATTATGACAATTACTTAGTTGTATTTGTAATTGTGAGTAAGGCATTACGACAAATGAAAAAGCCACTATTCTTTAAAATAAGTCAGTGATCTTCAGCTCGACGATTAAGTTCGTAGTTTTCTAGGAACTGATAACAGAAAAAACGAAGCAGACTATGCTGCAAACTGAGATGAAAAAACTGCAAGAAGATAATGTGAAGCTGTATGGGAGGATCAAATTCCTCCAAGGTTACGGTGGGTCTTGTTTCGTTATGCAGGTAACTTTTTCGATAGTTAATGCTTCATAAAATTCATTCCCTTCAGGAAGCAAATCGGCAGAAACAAGTGTTCCATTACCTGAAGAGGGTAATTATAGCGCACAGTATGAACGCCGGTTAGATCCATTTCAAAGATTTGGACAAGCGGAAGCAGAGAGGGGCTACGCTCGTTTACCGTTACACGATCGTGCTTCACTTAGTATTGTGAGTTTGGTTCAAAGCAATAATCGGGTTCTCTTCTGTATCACTCAATACGAAAATTCATTTATAAAAAGGAGTTGATCTTGGTTCACCAGGATGCTTCGACTATGGTGGGCTCGTTTTTACGTAATCATTAACTGTTATCAGACTTCAAAATCGTGCTGTTTTCATCTAAGAAATTTAACAACTACGCGATGAAGTAGAGTGGAAACAAATTAAGTTCTAAGTATTTTCACTGGCAATGTTTTTTTTTACCTTTTATTCGACGATTTCATTTTTTGTGAGCCTCCTAGTGAAGCTGTGTGAAATACAATCCGTTTAGAGCGCTTTCTAAACCTTAGTTTTTCCCACATTTCTTTAGACTATATTTATTTTATGCGTTATTGGCTAATATTTTGCTTGGGCTGCTAGATTTTAAATAGTTCTGTTAAACCAATTACTGTAGCCTTCCACACCAGGTTCATTCTTTGAACATGACCTCAACAAAAATTAACAATTCACCTTGCTCAAATATATCTACTGGCAAGAACTCTTAAGCGATAGAAGTGCTCTATCGTGGTTTTTTTTGAGCTTAAATTATGTTTTATTGTAGGGAAAGGCAATTATGACTTCCCCATCGGCTCGGCTGACGTTCTTCTTCTATTTGGTGGTCCTTCATCTTCTCGTTTTCCTGGTTAGTGACTGAATGACTTTTGATTGCGCATAGAGGAAATAAAAACGTTTTAAAGATTTACATGAATACT